TTGTTGAACCACTGTACTTTATATAGTGCGACAACTTCAATCTTGACTCATTAAAAAAAAACTAGTGGGGTGGGTGGCATCGTGCCTTAAGGCAAATTGCTGGAACTTCCCGCACCATAACGAAATGTTCGAGGAATACTGAATGTTTTCAAATAGATTATTATAAATATTGTAACATTGTCTAATATTTATAAGAATTATATAAACTGAATTGTAGAGTTGAAGTTATTTGTTTAAAGTATATTAGAAGTATAGTCAGAATTAAAAATAAAATCTGAATTATTTTCGATATACCAAAAATAAAAAAAATAAATAAAAAAATTGAAACAAAAAATTTTTTTTCCAAAATCAATTATTTTGTTAAGACAAGCAGAAAGTTGTCAATTGAATCGGACGCTTAGTTCTCTCAAAAACTGCCAGTTTTTGTACATTTAGCTGCGTATCTTCGAAATAGCTGGGCCTACCTTTGCGAAAAACTAATAACCACTTCTCCCAATTATTACTAATTGAATGTTTTTTCATTCAAATTCATTCAAATATATATATATATATATATATATATATATATATATATATATATGTGTGTGTGTTTGTGTGTAGTTAAAAAATGGGTTTCAATTTTCATAATCTTTTTTCCTCAGACGTTATAAGTTTGTTTATTAAAATCAATTTTTAATCAAATTAAATTGCGCCATTTCTGAGTTTAATGCGACCTCAAATTAAGGTCAAAATTAACATAAAATTAATTTTATCTTTCCAGATCGTTCCACAGACTTTGTAAAAGAGTACTTATTCACAAAAACGTATAAGATAGTTCTCAACATTTTTTCTTAAAATAATTATGCAAGCTATGTGAGTGGCATATTGCCTTAGTGCAAATTGCAAGAACTTTCTGATATATAAACATATGCATATATAACAATTAACATCTTAACTCGTATCAAATATTTGACCTTTACAATTACTTTGAACGTTTACTTTTGATAACACATAAAACTAAATATTATAAACATATTGTTATGGTTTATTTATTAATTAAACGTAATTTAACATATCCACACAATCATCACATTTAAAATTATTGTAAACGAAACGTCAAATCAAATAAAAAATGGCGGACATTAACACCAACTTCACAAATATAAGTTTTAAATATTACCGATCACTTTAAAAATATTAATATTTTTAATTAGTTATATTTAGATTGTTTACACATATGTTCTTATATTAATTATTTATATTATATTAATATAATATGAATATATAAAAAAATTGATTAACGTTTGCTTGCAAAAATATGCAGAATGTTGGTACCCCTGCAAACACAACTGTGAAGAACTTGTTTATCTATGGTGAAGAATGCGTTAAACCGAATTGACATTAGAATCAAAATGTCGGATGTGATTAAATTGTCGCAGTTAAATTTAATATTTAATAATAATGATAATATGTTTGTCGACATATATATTTTTGTCTTATTGTTATAATTATTAATTCATAGTATTGTATTTAATATTTTTGTTGTGAATATAAACACAAATGCGGCTTATTTCAATTGCAAAGTGAGTGTAGTTTTGAAGAATTGTTTCGATGTCTAAGCTAAAGGTAGGAATTTTATAAAATTTACTTTAAATTCATTAATTTAATAGCTTTATTGACTTTAATCTTAAAACATTGTGCCAGTTAGAAACTAAGTATAAGAATTATGTTGTAAAAGCTGTCTGATTGGTATATATATATATATATATATATATATATGATAAAAATTGTTTCTTGGGCATCCATCCAATAATTAAAAAAACAGTTTTAATGCAAAATGTTTTAATTAAGAGAACATACGTTTCGGGTCCAGATTTGACCCGAATTACAATTTTCAAAATTTTCATAACTTGATGTTTTTTCAATTTTTTATTTCATACTTATTTTTTCGTTGCATTTTTGTGTTGTTCTTTGTGTTATATTTTTTTTTTTTGTTTTTTTTTTTTAATTATTTGTATGCACTGAAGATGGGCCAAATCTGGACCCGAAACGTATGTTCTCTTAATTAAAACATTTTGCATTAAAACTGTTTTTTTAATTATTGGATGGATGCCCAAGAAACAATTTTTATCATATTATTTCACCATCTGAAGAAAACCTCTCGCTTATATATATATATATATATATATATATATATATATATATATATATATATATATATATATGTATGTATTCGACTTAATTGCTAATAATTGTTATTTAGTAACACCTGAATTTGGGAATAATTTTAAAATTTTGACATGAGTCAATATTCTAAACTTCCATGTTTCTATTAAATTAAAATTCTTTTTGTTGGCCTATAATATTTCAGTTAGTATCAACCATGAAATATATCGTTCAACAAAGTTCCATCAATTTTTTTTCTTTCAACACTTTCAACAATTAATTACAAAAAAATGGCGCTACCAATCTTGAGCAAAAACTAGCTAGAGCGATTCCCAACCGATATCTCTCAAAGAATTTTTTGAATCTACTTAAGTTTTGGCTAAAACTAAATAAATCGAATCATCAAGGTCTATAACCTATATAGAACTCAATGTAATAAGAAGTTTAAAGTAGAGGGAAAAAGATGTATAACCAGCTATAATTAATAAAATTCTCATGAACCTGCTATCGGAAGATAAACTTTAATCTTTGAAAATCTATAATAAAAGTATTCTCTTTTGTTGGTAGATTTTTAGCATTAGTTAAAAATGTAATTGTTTTATAAAATACATTCAAAATTGAAATAAGACATTAAACCTGTTCCAAGTTACCCCGCCAGCATTCAAACAACACATCCTTATGCACTTAAAGTATTAATATTATTGATTCTCTATAAATTGATTAGCATATACCCTACTTAGCAAAACAACGTTTGCCGGGTCAGCTAGTATATATATACGTGTATATATATATATATATATATATTATTTTTTAAAAAATGCATTTATTTATTGCCCAAAGTTTATGTTTAAAAAATCCGATTCGCTAATTTTATGTTTTCTCGACGTTTCAAGCCATTCTGAATCGAATGAGACCAAATTTGAGGAAAAAGTATGTGTGTGAACAGATTTTTTGCCGTAAATCGACCTTTTGTCAAAAACGACTGAACCGATTTCAAAAATTTAAAAGCCATTCGATGTATCTCGATGAGGACTATCGTTTCTAAGATTTGTGCGACGATCGGCCGAACAGTTTCTTAGTAATTGAGAAAAAAGTGAATAATTATCGTCCATGTTTTAGCCAAAAATTCTGACTCGATTTTAAAAATTTTAAATCTATTCGAAAGATATTATTTTGGAATCATGCTGATTAATTTCGGACAAATATCGGCTGAGCCGTTTCTTCGTAATTAAGTGTACAGAATTTCTTTTATGAAATTTTGTATGTTGATAGACATCATGGTCCTAAAGAACATACTAAAATTTTATGGTCCTGCGGCAAATAGTTTAATTTTAAAAATTCATCAAAGTTTGAAAAAATATTATAGTCAAAATTTATGTCAAAAGTCGCTTTTGTGATGTGATGAGTCAAAATTTGAATATCACAATATTAAAAGCCATGTTTTGGAATCAGAGGAAAAATAAATCTACAAAACTTCTTTAGTTGTGTAAAAAATGTTAACATTAATTTAAATCACTAATAAATAATATTAAAGACTTTGTACAAGAAATAAATGTAATCGTGCAGTTGCAAATTTTATCTAAATATCTAAATCTCAATTTAGTTTATTTAAGTCAATTATTACACATTTTGGGAAGTTCATGCAACTTGCCTTAAGGCAAAATGCAACTTTCAACTAGTTTATCATATCTATTTTAACTTCTAAATCATTTGATTAATATAAATAGTTTATTGTACAATATTGAATAATCTATTATATTGTCTAACATCAGACAACAATCTTTTATACTCAAAAATTGAACAAACTAGCTGTAAGTGGAATTCTGTCTTAAGGCAATTAAGGCATCGTGCCTTAAGGCAAATTGCTGGAACTTCCCGTACCAAAAATTATTATTTTTTTAAAAACGATTGACATTTTTATAAAAAATTTATTTCGAAAAAATAAGATTTTTGAGAAACTATAAATTCGACAAAAAATTACTTTTTTTTGAAAAAAAAATTTTTTTTTTTAAATTTAAAAAAAAATAATTTTTTTTAAAATTTTTTTTTTAAAAAAATAATGTTTTCTTTATTTTGGCATATTTTGGAAGATCTGAACTTTTTATAAAGCGATCGTACTGCTTTAACTGCATAGAGACAAAATGTCAAAGCGCGTAAGCGCCGCGTCGCCGTCTAACGAATAAACATTGGTACGGAACCCATAGAAATGTAAACAAAATTTATACTTATTGTTAAAATCTCTATAAAATATTTGATAATTTGATGTGCATATGTCTAATGATCATTTTTGACCGCCAGATAGCATTTTTTTTTTTACTTTTTTCGTTAGATCTCCGAAAATGCTAGACCTGCCCTCATGAAAATTTGATCAATTCTTCATCTTGTCAATATAACTAAAATGTTTTTTGAATGATTAAAATCGGACGCTCCGTTCTCTTAAAAACTGAGTTACCGTTTTCGGCACTTTTTGCCCCGTATCTTCGGAACGGCTAAACCTGCCTTCGCCAAAAACTAATCAGCACGTCTCCTTATCAATACGAATCGAATGCTTTTTGAATTATTCAAATCGGTTGATCCGTGTTCCCGAAATCGTCGACGAAAATTTGTATCCGCACATACACACACACACATACACACACACACACACACACATACATCTTTTCTAAGGTATGCCAAAATGTTCAGAAACCTCTGAAACGTAAAGACATATAAAAATTTTCATTTTCGATTTTTTTGCGATTGCTATAACTTGCCCTAGGGGAAGTTAAAAATATTTCTATTAAACATTTATAAATCTATTAACAAACCTCATTGTGAACCAAATTCCAATATCATCGATATACTCGTATTTACAATTACTTGTCCCTGTCTTGTATCATATCAAAATAAGCATGAGTCAACAAATCGCTTTCCTTTATACCAAGTTGCAACATAATTTCATCCGCAATCCCCTCACCATCCTTCACACTCTGCGTCTCATTCAAAACAACTTCCAATTCCACAAAATCACCCAAACCTTCAACAGCATCGATATGAACCCTCGTTTGTCCAATCAAGAACAAAAGTCTTGTCTTTTTAACTTCACCAATAAGTCCTAAGCTAGAAGAAAGAATTGCTTTCAAGGCTTCGGTCTGTTGTTTACAATTTTGGCCCTCGATGTTGAACTTAGTGTATTCTGATAATTTAGGACCAGATATGTCTGGACGATTGTAATGGACGAGTGTAGATGTTTCATCGGGGAATATTCTTAGTTTTAAACGTCCATTTGGAACTTTGTAGAAGATATCGTGTTGGGGTATTAATTCACCTTGGGTGCTTGTTATGGATTTGAGTTTTGATATGACTTCTGTTTTATTTGGTAATTTAGCTTTGATTTCTATATTGCGATCCATTGTTAAAGACTTTGGTATTGAAATAGAATTGTTAATAAATATTGGTATATATTTATAGTAATAATTTCATAAATTTACCGTTTCCCAATGTTTTTAGGATAATATGATATGCACTAAAGTATGTATATACTAATAAATAATAAATAATTAATTATAAATAAATAATACAATTAAAATAAAATTACAATTCTGATACCGGTGTAAATAACGAAACCTAACCTCAAACTGTCAAATTTAAACTGACAGTTTGCCGAATTGTTAAAACCGCTAAATTTGAATTTGAAATGTAAATATTTGAAAAAAAAATATGAATATTAAAATTATATATTAGATTATTGTTAGTTTTTTTGCTTGTGGGTTCTTTGTAATTAACAAGTTAGTAGATTTTAGTTTAAAAATAAATCTTTTTTGTTAAGTAGGTTTAATATAAACACACAATGTTGGTAGGTTTTTTAATATTTGTTTAAATTGTACAAAAACTTGTTAAAACATATGAAAATCGATATAGATAGAAAGCTTATAAAATTCTATATATAACTGCGTTTACGAATTTTAACTTTTGGAACAAAAACATTGCAGAAAAATAGTCAAACTTTAAAATCGTTTACTTTTGCAAGCAAAGAGTTTATGCGTTTTCTTGATATTTAAAAGTTTAAAATGTACAAAAACTTGTTTAAAAACATATTTATTACTTTATATGGATGAAAAGCTTATGAAATTTTCTGCATAATTGCATTTATTGATTTTTAACGTTTGGAGTAAAAACATTATGAAAAAAATCATCAAACTTTAAAATGTTAAAGTGGTATACCTTTGCTAAGAAAATATTTTTTTTCTAAATTTGTTTAAAATATGCAAAAACTTATTAAAACACATAATAATTATTCTATATAGATAAAAAGCTTATAAAATTTTATACACAACTGCATATAATAATTTTTAACTTTTGGAACAAAAACATTGCGAAATAAATCGTCAAACTTGAAAATCATACAACTTTGCACACAAAATCTTGGTACGTATAGGTAGTAAAAGTGTAATTTTTCCATACATGATTTAATGCAATTATAAGAATACCGAGTTGCTGTAGGGCATCATAATATTAGACAAAATTGAAGATTAGTCAATTTTGTATAAATTTGCCAAATATACTACTCGTATTCAATAAACAGTTTAAATGATATAAATTATTTAATAAAAATCGAGCTAATTTGTAAACGCTAACATTATTATTATTATTATTATTATTATTATTATTATCTTACTATTTCTATTATTGTTATTTTGTTATATTTTACTATTTTTTAGTATTATTTTATTATTCAGAAATTTTATTTATATTATTTATTAATTTTATTTTTATTATTATTTGCTTCTATTTTATATTAAATCCTCATATTACGGATATTATTTTCATGTAAATTTTATCCTTTGCACTCTTATTTATTTAAATTTATGTTATTGTTTATCAATATTACTAGATGTTAATTATTTAACAGTTGTAATAATTATTGAAATTAAAAAAAAATCGAGCACGTTCCAAAGCGCGTCTCTTATATTATACCAAACTTTAATAAATTTTCTTAATTAAACTGCTTTTCGTAGGCCTATAATATATTAGCACGTTTGTTCAAAACCTAAATTCTATCAGTATACAAAATTGTATTAATTACAAAAAAAACTGCTCGGCCCATCTGTGCAAAAAAACTAATCAGCACGATTCCCAACTTATACCTTTCTTTTTGCATTTTCAAAATCGGTACAGGATTTTCGTCGAACAAATTTATTCAATAATTTTACCAAAGTCTTATAATGTATTCACTTACTTTTTTCAATCAAAATCCCCGTCTAAAAAGTCCTGCAAGTCTCGTCAAAGCCTCAGCAGCCTCAATTTCTTCTCTATGATGAGACAAGGACAAATCTTCCTTGGAATTCGTTTGATTCTGATTGGAATTTGCAACATTCCATTTATTATACTGTCTTGAATTGGTTTCTTTTGAAGGGCTTTTTGAAGATTTGGGGACGTCCCAGGCGGAACAATCGCGTCTTGTTTGGGGCCTAAAATTTGCTGCACTTTCTAACCACCTGGGGTAAAAGACACAAAATATATAGAAGGATTTAAATTGCTTGAAAAGATTAATTTGTTAAAATTATTTAAGGGATTTTTATAGTACCTTGCAAGCAAAGGAGTTTTGTTCTCAGGTTCATCCAATCTTTCAAGACCATCCAAGTATCGTCTCATCATTCGCCTTTTATATCTGCAAAAATTAATTTTATGGGTATACCGAGTTGTAGTAGGGTTTTAAAATGTTAGACAATATTGTTAATAATTTAATTCTAAACTAATTTGGCAAAGACTTCATTCATACTAAACGAATGGTTACAAAGTTATGTATATTACAAAGAATAAAATGTAATTAATTTCGTTTTCAAAATAATTTTTGGCTGGTAATATTTTTTTTTATTTATTTATTTATATATTATTTTCATATCTCAGTCAGACAGGGGTTTCTGGTATGAAAGAATATGAAACAATTTTCTTATTTTATATATACACATCACTTGTCTATTTCATTAAACTACAATATAATATTTATTATAATTAAAATATCTATTCAATCTTCAATTTCCTTATAATATTTCTTTATTTTTCTTTTAAATTTTGATGATTTTTACCAAATTTCGAGTACACCGAGTTGTTGTAAGGCATTATAATGTTAGGCAATATTGTAGATTGTTTAATTTTAAACAAATTTGCCGAATATATTAATTATGTGACATAAATATTAAGAAAGTTATAAAAAAATTTAGTCAACAAATATACTTTTATAAATTGGGGCGCATAAAATAATTTTCTAGGTTCAATCGGGATTTTAAAGTATACCGAGTTCCTGTAGGGTTACATAATGTTCAAAATTATTATAGATTATTTAATTATTTATTATAGATTATTTTAATTTGTTGAATATTTCATATAAATTGGACAAACGGTTTAAAAGTTGCAAGAGATTTAGTAACTAAATACACTAATACAGTTGCGTTATAAGAACCAGTAATATATACGTGGTCTGTTCAAAAAGTACCCGGAATTACTAATAATTAAATTTCGCGGGTCTGGAGTGTCTGATTGTCAAAATTTTTTTGAAGTAAAACTTCTTTAGGCGCGATATGGGTGTAAAAATTTTTAGGCGCGACACGGGTGTAAATCCGTACAAATGCAACGAAAATGCCAACGTGTAGTTGAACACTACGACGCCGTAAGCGCTGATGTCGCGAGTATCCACTCATATCGCGTCATGTCATGCGTAAGTCGAGCGCTAAACCCTATATGAACTTGCATTAATTGAATCACGTTTTTTTTACAAAAGAAGAGGTTGCTGTATTATGTCCTCATGGAATAAGACTTTTCTTAGAGAATAAATGTGCCATGGAAATAATAAATTTATATTGAATCTCGTTGAAGACAAAATAATATCTACTGCCACGGATATATTTATGTAGGTTGCCATGCGACAGATCAACAATCATACATTCGTCAGCAGTTTCAAAAAAATCGGTTATTGATACCGGGGCTTTGCCGTATGAAATAATTTTAGTTCTGAATAAATTTTACATAATAACAACTAATATTGATGTAAGTGATGGCTTAGCTAATGGTTGTGTGGGAAAATTAGTGTACATAGAACGTGGCGATAATGATGAACTTCTACGTTTATGGTTTGAATTTCCCGGTAAGATAGGTAACAAAATTAGGAAGAAAGCTTCACATCATATTCAAACTCTTAATATCAGTAGGACAGCTGTGCCGATGCTCAGGAGATCTTATTATTATTGATGTTATATGATTATTAAAAGATGATTTTTAAAATTCAAATATGATGTTTTTTTTATTTTTATCTTAATTGCCTACTCATACAATATTAAAAGTTTTACTTCAATCGCGTGTGATCCTTACGCGCACTCTTTTTTTTTTATTGTGTTGGTATACATGCCCCTAAAGTATGATGAAATTTTCAGCTATATTCACTGTTTACTTTGTCTGTGGTAGTCGCTAAGGTTCGACGTGTTTTTCTGAGCTCGGCGATTTTTACAATGGAAGAATTGAAAAGTCAAAGAATTTGTATTAAATTTTGCGTAAAAAATGAAATAAAGTGTTGCAAAGTGCAAAAATTCACCAGATATGGCTCCGTGTGACTTTTTCTATTCCCAAAGTTGAAGAGACCCATGATAGGACGGCGGTTTCCTCGATTGAAGAAATAAAGGCCGAATCGCTGAGAGTGCTCAAGGACATATCAAAAAGTGAATATCAAGGGTGCTTCGAAAATTGGAAAAAACGCTGGCATAAGTGTATTATATCTGGGGGGGACTACTTTGAAGGGGACCACATTAATGTAGACGAATAAATAAATATTTTATATTTATATACGAAAATTCCGGGTACTTTTTGAACAGACCACGTACATATGTTTTTGATCGCAATTTTAAAGTATACCGAGTAGTTGTAGGATCTCATAATGTTAGAAAGTATTTTAAATAATTTATTTTTCTACAAATTTTCTTAATATTTCATTCAAATTAGACAAACGGTTCAAGAGTTATAAGAAATATAATAAATAAATGCATGTGAAAACAAAAATTACTGCTAAAAATGCGTTAAAGTGTTATTTAGAGAATAAGAGTTGCTTTAGGGTATATTGTTATTAGAACAAATTGTATATTATTTAATTTCAAACAAATTTGTCTTATACACCAATCATAATAATCTCATGGTTTAAGATCTAGAAATGATATAACACAAAAATACAATTTTTTTATAAGACAATTTTGTATTTTATTAAATTTACCCATGGGCGTCCTCGTTCCTATTATTAGCCTCTCGTCCAGGTTCTGCCCAAATGCTATCATCAGAACTGATACTAAATTGCTCCAAATTTCCATTTGCTTGAGAATTGTAACTTTTTATTAAATTGGACCAACTACGTCTCTGTGGTTCCCCACCTGAATTCTTTAGTTTTCTTCTCCAGTTTGCGAACCAATTACAAATCTAAAAAATAATAGATAATCAATTATATTCAATAAAATTAATTTATTTTGAATATTATAAGTGAATGCTACTGTTTGCAGTCAATTTTGTCATATTGTAGATATAAATATTTATGAACAAGACGTATTGAATATGAGCTTACATGTACAAAATTAAGTATTTTATAAAGCAATTTTTATAATTTTAATACAAAATGTATTATTGAAATACATGAAATGTATATAATAAGATAATTTGGTTGTGTGTTGTATGTAGTAATTGTTTTCAAATGTGTTTTCAAATATAAAACTTTCAAACTTTTCAAATATAAAAATTAATTGTTAATGTTAATTTATTACCTGTATATATGTAAGGCCAGTTTTAAAAGCCATTTCTTTTTTCTCTTCCCGATTTGGATAAGGGTTGTCCCTTCTTCTAACGAGCCAGTCTTTGAGGAATTTTTTGATTTCAGGGGTGAAAAGTCTTTTAATGACTCTTCTTTCATCATTTAAGGATCTTCGTCTACCAAAAATAAAAGGACAAAAAAATATTCTATATATCTATTATATTTAAAATGTTAATTTGCAACAAAATGGTCGAAATAAAACGCAATATTTAATTAACTCTTTGTTAAGTACGTTTCGACAATGTATGTTTATCATCATTCAGCACGTTAACAAATTCTAAAAAATATTTTGCAATGTTTAAAAAAATCCTTCAAGATTACTAGAAGATATGACAAATAAAAATATAGATACATACCTAACAAGAAAAAAACACAACATAAAAAAAGACATATTAAAAGTTTAAATAATAACAAAATTATGTAGTTAATCCCACGACTGACAAATTTCAAATGGACATCAAAATGCCAAAGCACGCCTTATATATAAAGGGGTTCACAAAAACTGATGCAGGATCAGGATTCTGAAAATTGCTAGATTTTGAAAGAAAAGTGATACAAGGATGGGAAAATAGCCAAAAAATTAAACAAAAATAATAAATAATTAATAAAATATAACTAAACTAGTACCAAATTGTAAAAATGGACGGTGAAATGCAAAATTACGCCATTTGAATTAAAAGGGTTTACAAAACTTGATGCAGGATCAGGATTCTGGGAATTGCTGGAATTTTGAAGAAAAGTGATATAATAATGAGAAAATAACCGAAAATTTAACAAAAATAATAAATAATTATTATAATACAACTAAACTAGTACCAAATTGTAGAAATGGACGATGAAATGCAAAATTACGCCATTTGAATCAAAGGGGTTCACAAAACTTGATGCAGGGCAGGATGAAAATTGCTAGATTTTGAAAGAAAAGTGATATAAGGATGAAAAAATAACGGAAAATTAAACAAAAATAATGGATTATAAATAAAATGCAACAAAACTAATTGTTTTGCCATTATAGATGATGAAATGCTAAAGTACGCCATTTGAATTAAAAGGGTTCACAAAACTTGATGCAGGATCAGGATTCTGACAGTTGCTAGAATTTGGAAGAAAAAAGATACAAAGATGGGATAATAACGGAAAATTAAACAAAAATAATAAATATAGAATGAAATGCAACAAAACTAGTTGTTTTTTATATCCTTGTATCAATTTTCTATGAAACGCAAAATTACGCCATTTGAATTAAAAGGGTTCACAAAACTTGATGCAGGACCAAGATTCTGGGAATTGCTAGAATTTCGAAAAAAAATGATATAAAGATGATAAAATAATCGAAAATTAAACCGAAATATTAAATAATAAATAAAATACAACAAAATTAGTTGTTTTTGCTATCTTTGTATCAATTTTCTATGAAACGCAAAATTATGCCATTTGAATTAAAGGGGTACACAAAACTTGATGCAGGATCAGGATTCTGGTAATTGCTAGAATTTAAAAGAAAAGAGATACAAAGATGGAAAATAACCGAAAATTAAATAAAATTAATAAATAATTCATAAAATGCAACAAAACTAGCTGTTTTTACTATCCTTGTATTACTTTTCTTTCAAATTGCGAAATTACGCCCTTTTGAATTAAAAGGGTTCACAAAACTTGATGCAGGATCTGTATTCTGGTAATTGCTAGATTTTGAAAAGTGCTACAAGAATGTAAAAATAACGAAAAATTAAACAAAAATAATAAATAATTAATAAAATACAAATAAACTAGTACCAAATTGTAGAAATGGACGATGAAATGCAAATTTACGCCATATATATAACAAAAGGGTTCAAAAAAGATACACGGATTGGAAAATAACCGAAAATTAAATAATAATAATGGATAATAAACAAAATGCAACAAAACTAGTTGTTTTTGCTGACCTTGTATCATTTTTCTTCCAAATTGTAAAAATTCTTAGAACTCGATCCTGGATCCAGTTATGTGAACCTTTTCGTATATATATATATATAATATATATATATATATATATATATATATATATATATATAAAGCGAGAGGGTTTCTTGGATGTGTGTGAAATAATAAATAATAAAATTGTTTCTTGGGCATCCATCCAGTAATTAAAAAAACAGTTTTAATGAAAAAATGTTTTTATTTAAAGAACATACGTTTCGGGTCTTGATTTGACCCATCTTCAGTGCTACAAATAAATAATTCAGGGTTACAAATTAAAACAAAATAAAAAAATACATTAAAACAGACAAAAAATAAGTAAAACAATGTATATGAAAAGTATATATGAAAAACAACCATAAAATAAACAATGTAAAGAAAACTCACCATACAAATAAACTTTGAAAAAACAACACAAAAACACAAAATTGCACGAAAAAAAAAATAAATAAAAGTGAAATAAAAAATTGATGAACGTCGAGTTTAGAGTTATGAAAAATTTTAAAAAAATTGTAAAATTAAAATGAAGATATATTTTATTATAAAAAAAGCATTATTCCAACGAACATGTTGTTAGTTTGGAAGTTGTATTACGAGTGTGTACGAGAGTAAATGTGTGCGAAAACGTGTTTACGGAAAATACTGGAAACTGTATCGTCATTGGTGAAGAGAACGGGATAGAGAGTTACGAGATTTCCTCAACGATCATGCGCAGTAGGAACATAGTAAAAAAATATATACCTGTGTAAGACACCATAATCAAATCCCAAAAATATGTGAATGAAGAGAAAATTATTAAGAAAAAATATAGATATTAACAAAAACGATAATAGTTATGGAACGATAAAAGTTACATAAAAAATTATAACATAACATATATATGTATATATAAACGAAAACAATAAATGTAAAATATGTATAAACATACACATACACATATATGCATACACAATAGAATATGTTAGAATACATAAAGAAAATGTTAGGATGTATTGCGCATATTGAAAAATTATTTGAAGCATCGCGGTAAATATTGCAAAGAGAAGCCGAATCAAATCGTTTGTTAATAGAAGGTATATTTGTATGAAAATACTCTCAGCGAACTTCCTGCGTAAAATGTTAGATTCTCGATGAATAACTCTTGGATTGGTGAAATTAAAAGAATGTTTAAATTTGGAGACATGCTCGGTGATCATGGTTTTATTTTGTTTCCTGTTCAAACTATTAAGTTCGTGTTGGCGAATTCTTTTTGAGAGAAATTGTGAAGTTTCTCCAACATAACAGCTTGAACAATCATTACAATCAATGACATATACGACGTTTGAAGTGCGGGAAATAGGGGTAGGAGTTTTTAAATTAGTGTATAAGTCTGAGAGAGTGTGTCCAGTCCAGTGTGTTTTCATAACTCGACGTTTCATCAATTTTTTTATTTCACTTTTATTTATTTTTTCGTGCAATTTTGTGTTTTTGTGTTGTTTTTCAAAGTTTATTTGTATGGTGAGTTTCTTTACATTGTTATTTTTATGGTTGTTTTTTATATATACTTTTCATATACATTGTTTTACTTATTTTTGTCTGTTAATTAATGTATTTTTTTATTTTGTTTTAATTGTAACCCTGAATTATTTATTTGTAGCACTGAAGATGGGGCAAATCAAGACCCGAAACGTATGTTCTTTAAATAAAAACATTTTTCATTAAAACTGTTTTTTAATTACTGGATGGATGCCCAAGAAACAATTTATTATATATATATATATATATATATATATATAAAGCGAAAGATTTTTCTTCAGATGGTGAAATAATATATATATATATATATATATATATATATATATATATATATATATAAGGCGCCATTTTGCATATCGCTTTTCATTTGCAATTTGTCATTAATGTGATTAACTACTGTAACTACTAATTTTATTCTTTAAGTTCACTATTTTATTTCATTTTTGTGTTTTTTGAATAAAAAATATGTTTAAAAATTGGGTGTTGCTCTTTTCTTGGTTCGGTATGTATTGATATTTTTATTTGCTACATCTTTCAGTAATTCTGCAATATTTTTCAAATTGTGCTAGTTTTTATTTTGATAGTTTTTTGAATTTCTTTAACTTGTTGAATGATGACCCACATACAGCGTCGAAACGTACATAATAAAAATTAAATTATTCATTATAACCCAGGTGTTAAATTTATAAGCAAATCACCAAAAAAAATAAAAACACTCGTCACTTCTTTAGTCAGTCGCTGGTTTATTACAGGGTTGAATTCGCATGGGTTATTTTCAAAAAACAGTATTTTTATTATTATCTGGGTCTATTAATTTGTGGGTTAGTTAAAAAATCGTAAAATCCATACATGCTTTTAGCAAAATCTCAGATCAAAAACTTTGTTGGTCCAACTGACTGGCTGTAGCGACGATTTCTGGTCGAACGGCTGGACGGATTTCTGGTCGGTTGTAATTTTTCCATTTTTTTAATATTTTTGGATGGCGAAGATTTTTTTTGCTTAGCAAAATAGCTGGAAAATATAGTAATAGTATATATGGTTCAATATATTTAAATATAGTAAAAATTCTGAATATTTGGATGCCGGATTATCGAATTACCGGATTATCGAAACGTCGGATTATTAGAATTTTGGATTATTGGTAGGATTATTTTAAAAAAAACGTGAATGGTTTCAAATTTTCGCTTTCAAATTGAGTAAAATGTGTTTAAAAAAACGTATATAGTAGTCCTTGATATCATATTCAAATTGTGAAAATTTCCAAAAAAAAATTTTCCCATGAAATCGGTACGCCGAAATGCGCTCAACCTAATTTGAGGCCTCGTTCCAGGTTAAGTGTAAAATGACGTCATTTTGGCCTATTTTCGGTTTGGTATGGAACGCCGATTGAAACAAACTAATGAAATTAAGTTTCATTATTGTTTTAAACACTAAAAATTTGCAAATTGAATAAATTTTAATACAAAAATTAATTATTCTAGTATTTGTTAAAAATAATTTCAAAACCTATATTATTATTGTTTATTTATAAAAAATAAAACGTTGAAAAAATGTCCCCCCAACAAGTTTTTGGCGATTCTAAATTTATATTATAAGCAATATCTTGTAAAATAATTGTAATTAAATTTTAGAATAAATTCTGAAAAATATTTCAAGTACTGTAGAATTTTATAAAAATAATTAAATAGAAATAATTAATAAAAAATTAATAATAATAGATATGGATAGATATCTGTGAACATTATAATAAAAAACGGCAAAAACTTTGGTAAAAATTTTGATGAATATTTAAAGCATTGCAGTATATAATTTTAAAGCATAAATTATTAGTATTTTTTTACAAAAAATGAAACATTGAAAAGTGTCTCCCCAACAAACGTTTGGTGGCTCTTATAAATTTTGCAAAAATCTTGTAAAATATAAATAATCAATTTTTAAAATGAATTTCAATAAGTATTTCAAGTATTGTAGTATTTAATTAAATAATTTTAAAACTTACACTATTAGTATTTATTTATAAAAAATGAAATATTAAAAAAATGTCCCCCGAAAAAGCCTTCGGTAAATTAAAAAAAAGCCACTGTAAATTTCAATTTTATTAAATATCTCATAATATATTAATAATGAGATTTTAGAATAAATTTAGATCAATAAATAGATCATTTGATCATTTGATCAATAGATCAAGTAT